CCATGAGTCGGGGAATTGTCAAGTCTTGAGACCGTCCCAATCCTTGACAATTCCAACTCATTAGGCTCATTAATGGTCAGACAGTCCCTCAAACGGGACCATCTCATTTTTGGATAGTTTTGCTATCTTAACTGAACCCGCAGGAGTATCTGATTCTAAATTCTTCCTTTTAAGATTGATACCTTCCTCTAAACCTTTATCTATAATAGAGGGAATTACAGATAAAGAAAGAGAGGTACCTTTCAGATTGCTTCTAGACTTGTATGGCTTTTTCCGAACATAGGCCCTTTTTGTAAAAGGTTTAGATGTTCCAGCTTCAGAGAATGAAGGTGCAGAAGTGAAGCTTCCCTTGTTACCAAAACAATCTTTCATGATTGCAGCCGATCCATCAGTTATGAAATCAGGGGAGGAAAGAATACTCAAAGTTTGTCTAGAAAAAGGTTCTTTGGAAGAATCTGAAGTTGCCTTTTTATTCTCAGGTTCCAGAACAATTGCTTTTCCTTTAGATCGATCACTACCTTCAGTGGAGACTGGATTTAGAGTTATGGTATGATCCATCTGAACTATGTCTTCAGAACTTTTGCTTTGAATCTGAGAAGAGAATCTATTCAATTCTGAAGAACCAACAAAGAACTGTCGCAACTCTTCTAGGACCATCGGATCTATCCTAATCCGACCAGCACAGTTTGGAGAATTCAAGGAAGAAGAATCCAATATTGTCTCTGCAACATGTTGAGAAGGTTCACTTCCTTTCAAGGCTAGCTGTTGTTGATTGAACAGAGGACAATTAGGACGCTCATGAGTAAGACGTTGACAGAAGTAGCATCTTTTTTGGATTCTCTCGTAATCATAGAGAATAGTAGTAGCTTCTCCAGAAGGTAGATTGACGACTTTAGATCGGCGGAGAGGCTTCGAAACATCAAAGCTGATTCTAACCCGGACGTAATCTTTGTTCTGAGCTTTGGTTTGATCCAAATCCAATTCAATAACCTTACCTGCAAACCCAGCAAGAGTACGAATAGCATCCGGTGTGTAATGATTGACAGGTATGTTGCGAAGTTGAACCCAAATCGGAATGAACTGAAGATAATCCTCCGGAGGACTTTCCATCCATCTATCCAACGCAAAAGACCATTGATTGTATGTATGAGCTCCTTTGTTAAGAATATCCTCCAAATCATGTTCATATTTGAAGATGAATTGAAACCTTTCCGGAGATAGAGCCACACCACGAACACGATCATATATTTGCCACTTCCTTGGCATATCGAGTACCAAATTAGACACCTTCTGACAGTCCGGATTGAGAATTCTTCCTATTAAACTCATGGAATTCATCTCTTTTGAGCAAAATTCAGGCAGATCCGGAAGATTAAATGGCTCATCCTTCTCTTCTAAGGTCATCGCCATTAGAATCTTGTCAAGGGAAGAAGACATAACTAGAGAAACCCAAAGAGAGAACTGAAATTCAAAGCAGAATCGAAAAATGAAAGCTTGAGGTTGAAGAACAAACACACAGATTTTGAAGAAGAAAACCAAACGATAAGGTTTGAACTTGAAGAAGACAAAAGGGAAAGAGTTTTTTTCCAGTCAACGGTCCAATCCTAAGGAAGTCAAAGACTCTAGTAGAATAAGAGTATGCTAAGCCCAAAAGAGGGATCCTATTTTTTAGTGCCGTTGGGTTTCTATCTCTGATCACTCTCTTTTACTTTTTTAAAAGTATTATTTTCTATTAATCATATACCATTTTGGTTTTCCGTTGACACTAGTTGGAATTTTGATTTTTTGTTTTCCGGTTATTAAAATTTTAAATATTTCTCATGTCGGTGTAATAATAGTTCAATGATGTGGCCACAAAAGAGACACACTCGCAAGACATGTGTTCAAATCTTGTCCTCATGCAAGGATCATATGAGCCGAAATATTCACTCATACTCAAAAACCCAATCTTCACATTCTCGTACTATCGTCAATTCGTCATCTCCCCCAAAAAAAAATCAATGGCTGAGGAGTTTCATCTTCCTTTAAACCTCACCGAAACAGATCAAATTCCGACCGAAGAAGACTTCGAAGCAGACACTACTTTCATCGACGACGAATACCTCCGTTACCTCCACTACTTGGATTCACGGAGCAATCATGGAGTCAACACGTTTGGATCGTACGACGAAATCTTCGGTTTAGTTCTCGGTAATTCATCTTCGATTCAGCGTCTTAACGCGGCTGAGGAACTTCCGGTGGTTGAGTTTACGGCTGAGGAAATGATGGAGAGAGGTTTGGTGGTCTGTGCTATATGTAGAGAGGAGCTCGCTGCTAATGATAGACTCTCTGAGCTTCCTTGTCGGCATTATTACCATAAAAATTGTATCTCGAATTGGTTGAGTAATCGGAACACGTGTCCGCTTTGTCGTCATATCGTGGAATTACCTAAAGCCATTTGAGATTGTGCATGTATAGTTTTGTTACTATCCCGACGACCCATGTCTGGAGCCTAAGAGTTTTTTTTGGGTAAATATCATTGTCATGTCACAACAACTATTTAGATTACTGAGTTTAGAAACTAGTGTTTTTTCGAGTCCACATGGTGTGCGTTTCTCCAGGGTCGACATAGGTTTTTTCGAGTTGTCATGTCTAGCTTTTGCATAGGTTTCTTGAATTTATATGTCACTACTATTACATTACTGAATTCTTCTAGTCTTAATTCAGACTATTCATGCTTTTGCTTATGTCTTATGTTTCTTTTGCTTATGTCGCAACTAATTTTCCCAACTCAACCATTCACAAGAACTTGGATAGGGCTGGAGTTTCTCTGTACAGTTGGACGAGATTAATGGTGTTGGGCTTTGTACTCGATATTCAGCCCGGATAAGGCCCATTGACGATTTCAGAGGCAAAGTCATCAAGCCCAATGCCTACTTCAAAGATGGAATTAGAGAGGGAAACAAAATATCTTAAATTTTGGATTCCTTCATCTACTTGTTATTTTTCTCTCTCAGCTTGAGTTTGTTATCAATTCAACCTTCTTGTACGACAACTTCAATAAATAAATAAATAAAAGATAATTTCCGTTACTTTTTTTTTTTTTTTTAGTTTCCGTTATTTTCCCGTTGGATTTTAGTTTCTATGAAGAAGTTTTGGGTAAATTACAGTATATAACTATATATTTTTGTTTATGTTGAGTTATCATTTTCTCTTTAAAAGAAAAAAATTATAAATCTAAATACAAAATATATAATGCAAGTTCTAACGGCAAGAAAAATGTAACTTAAGGATACAATTGTAATTAGTAGATACCTAATCACTTGTGTAATCTCTATATATATTGTACAACCTCTCATCTAATAAACTTAAGCTTTCAATCATATATGTGGATGTCGGATTCACACACTCAAGTATTTTATTAAGTAGGAAAGATTATTCTTGAGGGACAAAAAATGAATGTATAAAAACTTGTAAATTGCTACGAAAATTGCTATAATATTTTTCTCTTGAGAGGAAGATCCCCTTACATGGCCATTGGCTTTCATATTTATACATAGAGAATTGACATTAAAATGAATAATTAAATACAATTATTCCCTCTTAAATGTGTCCGTTTTGATTCTTCGATTTTAATGCTCAACGTTTGAATTTGAGTTGACTCTGATCTTCGTGGGCCTCGCCTTTTCGGCCCAAGTATCCTTGAACCATCTTACCCATGCCTTCTTCATCGAACTCATGTCGTAATGCAATCACTTCGGATTCTCGAAGTGGTGACGACCACTTCGACCGTTCCTTCGGCTGATGGGCTTCATTCTTTACGGGCCATTATCTTGACTACGTGGCAATCTTTGGTTGGTCTTGTACTTCTGGTGCGGGATCCGACACCAACAATATATGGTATCAGAGTCTTAACGATACCTTAACCTATAAATTTTTTTCCTGGCTGCCACTCTCCTCCATTCTCTCATCAATCTCTTTGTCCTTCTCTTATTTCACTCCTTTCTCTACAACCAAGTCTAGTTCTAGCTCTCTGGCCACTGTTTTTGAGACTATCACTGTCTCCAATTCTCCCATTCTCCTAAACGTCAACAAGACCAATGTGACGAAGCTCACCGACTCTAACTTCTTGATGTGGAGTCGCCAGGTTCACACGCTGCTTGATGGGTATGATCTCGCCGGTTATGTCGACGAATTTGTCACCTTCCCACGACCTACTTGCACTTCTTGGGTATTGAAGCTACTCAAATATCGAAAGGGCTTCACATTGTGCACAAAAAATGCATTGTTTATCTCCTAGCCATGACCAACATGATGGATGCATGACTGGTTTTTACTCCGATGACCAACATGATGGATGCATGACTGATTTTTTCTCCATTGTTGATCTCCTAGCCATGACCAACACCTCTTGATAACCCGAGCGAGTACATGGCTGTTCTTGGGAGCTTTCAATATATTGCATCCACACGACCTGATATAGCGTAAGCGGTTAATCGCTTGTCCCAATTCATGCACAGCCCAACTGATCTACATTTCCAAGCCTTGAAACGCAAACTTCAGTATCTGACAGGGACTCCATGTCATGGTATTTTAATCCGGGCGGACACACCACTAGTCCTACATGCCTATTGCTGACGCTGAATGGGTTGTGGACATGGATAACTGTGTCTACAAACGCCTATGTCTTGTATCTTGGTGGTAACTCCATTTCATGGTCTTCAAAGAAACAGCGGGGCGTCTCTTGCTCATCCACCGAAGCTGAGTATCTAGCTGTCACCAACACCACATATGAGATTCTGTGTATATGTTCTCTATTCACCGAACTTACCTTGTTGATGTGAGTCAAATTAGACCTAAGACTACTCTCTCAAATAAGATATCAATTGCAGTAATTTAGGATCGAAATCCACAAAGCTCTCGTGTTCACACAATAGACTAACAGGTTTTGAATTAAGCTAAACAGAAAATATTGTAAAAATAAAGCAAGACAAGTAATTAAAATCAAAGTAAATTCAGATGAGGAAAATGTCAAGCTTAGGGATTTCTCAGGAAATAAATAAATAGTAAATCAAGCAAATTAATTAGAATTATTTATCGAACCGTTCTAGAACTTAAATCACTAATTTATAGTCAACCACCTCTCGAATGTTATTGACTAACTAAACCTAATATCAGGAAGTTCCACCTCTCGAATGCAAACTCCTAGAATTAGGGTAGCATTAATAACAGGTTTGATATGTTCACAGGTATTCCTAGACCACCTCTCGAATCTATCTAGTAATTTCTGCCCACCTAAGATAGTTCCAGTAACAGGCGCCCTCTCGGATCAAAACCTACTATCCTATGATCAAGTTCTAGTTAGCTACTCTAGATTTCTAATGAGAATTAATCCTCACAGGTAATCGATCTATAGATTAAACCTAACAAGCAAACTACTCAGACATAGAGATTGAAACAAACAACATGATTGAATAGAATTCCTTAAAAAAATAAAGAAGAGAATAGAGTTTAGAAAAATCTTCTCTGGAGAAGCTCTCTCCAATTATCTCCCAAAGGATTCAAACTCCAAAAAATACAAGAGAATAAGAGATTGAGAGATGTCTCTAAAACAAAACCCTAAAAATCTATTTATATGTTCTAAAAAACGTGCATGGACTTCTTTGAAAATACAGAAAAGTTCTAGGGCGATTCTGCAAATCTTTATAACTTCAAAAAGACGCGCAATTGAATTGCCGTCAGATTTTGGTGTTGACCGACACTAGGGGTGGTGACGATCGACACTTGCACGAAGTTTGGTCTCCGGTCTGCTCTTGTAGCATGACTTCTCGGTTTTGCTCCAGAAGGATCGATAATCTCCAAATTGGGTCCGAACGTGCATAAACCTGAAAAGGACTAGAAAAGACTCTAGAAACAACAAAAAAAAACTCTAAAACTGACACATATATCATGACTAAAAACGATAAAATTCATGATATATCACTTGTCATCACCACCAGTGATCTATTGTGACAATGTCGGGGACTACTTATCTCTCCGCCAATGCTATCTTCCACTCGTCTATGAAAGCATATTGCCATTGACTTTCACTTTGTTTGTGAAAACGTCCAAGCTAGTGCTCTCCGAGTGTCCCATGTCTCTATAAAGGATAAGCTTGCGGATGCATTGACGAAAGCACTTCCTCATCCACGCTTTACAGAGATCACATCCAAGATTGGAGTCACTCAAGTCCCTCCATCTTGAGGAAGCTGTGTAAGAGAAATTTAACTTAAAGATATAATTGTAATTAGTATATACCTAATCACTTGTAATCTCTATATATATTGTACAGCCTCTCATCTAATAAACTTAAGCCTTCAATCATATACTAACATCCACTAGTTGTCAAGTATATGGATATTGGCATCGAGTGTCGATGTATGAGGGATTCGATATAGAAGGTATTAGTGGGTTGGCGACATTTTGTGACAATGTGCTACAAGAGACAAACCTAAATCTCAGTTATGTAGATAAATACAACAACGAAATGGCTTCTTGTACATGTTACCATGGGCGGATCTAAGAGGGCAATAGGGGTGGCAGCTGCCCCCATTAAATTGTAATAATTGTTGTATTTTTATTGATTTCATTTGTGTTTTGCTAGCTAAAATGATGAAATATCTCCCCCGTCCCCCCCTTTAAATCAACGATCAAACCCATGTTGCCCTATTCAATATACTTGTTTTTCTCTTTCTTTCTTTTTATAATTTTTTTTTTCCCTAAATTTTAGCTATTTTATATGGTTGTTTTCTATTTTAGTCATATTTTTTGCAAGAATCAACTTTTTTCTTTTTTATTACCTCCCAAAAATGGAATTTTTTTTAGTATTATTAGTTAATACATTATGCTCCCGGCGAAATTATTTTCTAGATCCGCCACTACATGTTACTAAATTTTTTTTCTTGCAAACGATACAACCAGCGGCTCATTGATCCTAATCCTATAACAAATATTTGGCTAAGTGCATAAGCCACAATTATTATCCTAATTTGATGGTTTTAAATCAAGTAATAAATCCAATAACAAATACTTGGCATATAGAGATGTTGAATGTCCCGATTGATCCTAAAAAAATTCAAATTATCCAGAGTATACCATCATTATTTTTTTCTAGAAAATCACACTTAATTTATTAGATGACATTTTTTTTTGTTGAAATGTTAAATTGACTATCAACAAAAAAATATTTACAAGAGTTTTGCAAAGTAGGACTAATAGAGCAATTTAAAACAATTCAGAAAATGAAAGCTTGTAAAAACAGAGCAGCATATGAAAACCAGAGCATTGGACAGTGAGTTAAGTCGGGGATTTCTGCAAAGAAATCCAGCGAGCTTCTAGGGTGCCATACTTGCTTCCTGGTTTGTACGTGAGGCTGGAGATACGATCCGTGATGTCCTTGGCGATGAAGATAATCAAGTGTTCATAATGATGATGGCCGGAGTTGTGGATACGACCATTGCGTTCCCTCCAAACATGATATATCGTTGTCTAAAATATCATTCGGATGAGAGCTGCATCAATAACAGAGGAGGAGCGGGCAATGATGGCTCGGAGAGTGTCAGACCAGTCCGGAGTTGAATGCCTTCGAAGAAGAGGAGCACTTAAAACCGACCACATCGATAACGTATACGGACAAGCGAAGAAGAGATGGTCTCTTTCACCACATAAGGGACACGACTGTACCTGACCCCACAGCCTCATCTGTTGGCTCGTCGAGAGTCTATCCTTAATGGCAAGCCAAGTGATAAACGAATAACGAACTGCTTGGGGAAACCAAACTGACCGAGACCAATTTACTTTTTCGGAAGAGTTTCGGATGGCATTCCAAGTGCACTTTGAGGAGAAAGATGGCAGGAAGTCATCCTCCTTGTGCTTCCATAATACAATGTCGTGACCAGCAAGCGGTGATGGCAGGGAGATAGGGTTTATAAGGTCAGCAACAGCTCTGTAAATTGGTCATCTTGGCCTTCTAATGATCCATTGCTGATTTATCACAACATCAGCAACAAAAGCGTTCTTATTAATACCAAGATGTAGCGGCCCCATGTCACCCGA